CAAATTCCCTCCCCCCCCCCCAAAGCTCTGCTGTCCTCTGTTTATCATGGTGTTATCGGTCAATACGGGGGCAGAGAGCGAGAGTGTGTGTCGCACCCGATCGAACCACCAAGGTGTGATTACTCCACCCTTTAAGAAAACACGCGATTTGGATTAAGTGAAGAAGAAAAAAACCCAAGTTTAAATTGCGGCCACAGTTTTTTTGCCCGAGACCGTCCGCTTTTTTGCCACGCTCTGACCGCTCGGCTTTACGAACCCTTCCCTCAGCCACCTGCGATGAAACCAAATGTTCTTTTTTTCTTAAATCCTCTCAGCCACCCGTTGACTAAAGCCCGGATCTCACCCACGGCGAGTTTGATGAGTCTCTCAGCCCAGTAGGCCATGACTACACAACAACAACAACCACACCGACGTCCATAATCGTTTTAATAATAAAAAATGCTGTTCAGTCCATGGAAAATCCCGGGAGGGAGACGCAGGAGACACCTCCCCGGTTCCCTCAATTTGGCGGATTTACACCCAGCGGGCAACCGTCGTCGCCTACCGGCAGACCGCTGCCCGGCTTGCAGGCCTGGTGCCGAGTCACTTGGTGCCACACGGGGACAGCTGCCACTGGAGGTGGTGGTGCGGGGGCGGCCGGCACATCCCCGGGAACGCGCTCCGAGACGCTCCTCGGCCACAACGAGAAGAGTCAGAGTCGGAACGTCAACTCACACTGGAGGAATCCGATCGGCTATAAAGCACTTGTTTTCACAGATGTCCAGTCGAGGAGGGGCGGCCTCTATCCAGATCACAACAAACTTTGCACCAGTATTCTCGCTGGGATCCCAGATAAATCCCCGTGGCTATTTTGCCTTCGTTCAGCCGAAGTCATAAGGGGGGCGTAATACAGACGTACGCACAAAGACACCGCGCAAAGACACCGCGCAAACGCACGAGGCCAAGCAACGTTTGCAGAGCGCGTTTGTTTGTTTTGCACGCGTTGCCACAGGCACGTGGTGTGTTGGTGCAGACTTGGTCCCTAATCGGCGTTTTAAATATCTCAACACCCCCTGTTTTAAATCGCCAGAGGAGGGTAAAAGCCCCGCTCACGGTTTCGTCGCGAAGCAGAGTCACGCTTGCGGAGTCTCGGCGGTGGGGGTGGCGCTCGCGGCAGCGGCCGAGATCCTGGGACTGAAACTAGGTTCCAGTGGCCAGGCTTTAAAAATGAGGTCTTCACGTGATACGATATCCACGTAGAGCCCCCCGCGTGAACGCCTGTAAGTACGTGGAACTTCTTTCGCACCGCACTTAGCCAAGCGTGCGGTCATCGTCGCATCACAATTAACTCCGCCTAACCCAAGTTCCGAAGCTGAGGACCCTGGCAGCGAAGTGCAACCCCTTCGCGTGAGAGGAACAGCCCGCACAAGAGGATGTCACAGAGCTACATCTGAGATTTCTTCTTCAAGGGACCTCTGGAACCACGCACAGCAGAGGGCCGGGTGCTTCCCACTCACTCTGCGTATGACGCTGACATTCGTCGCATGATGGTCAAACCAATATTTTAACTCTCGGATTAGCTCCGAGGGTCGAGGACGAATCCTTTGACCACTGGACGATTATCGGGCAGCAGTACACTCCGCTGCCTCCTGACGCGGCGATCTGGCTTGACCGCCTGAATGTGGCGTCGTAGTTGTTTCCTCTGCGGCGACATCAGTCCGCACGACAGAAGAAGAAGAAGGCAGCAGTGCAAGAGTGCAAGTGAATCGTGAGGTTATCTCCCCCCCCACCCCCCATCCATGCCGTGCTTCGCAACCGTTCCCAGAACGTGTAATTCTAAACGTTAAACATCGGCTTTTCACGACCAACATCACGACTCAATTCTCAGTCACAGTCAGTTCCGTTTGAGTTGGATCACCGTGTGGGTATAATGCCAGTGTTTAACGATGACTCTCCCCCAACCCAACAGAGGGTGATATTTGTGCGCGCGTGCAACAAGACGCAGAGCACGAGGGATGAGGGGGGGCGGGGGGGGGGCACGGAACGAGCCACAGTGACGACAGCGTTGCTGTGGAATTGTGTCACAGCAAAGATCCCCCATGTAGCCTTCACAGACTGTTGGAGCAAGAGCTGTGAGCGAGCGCCTACGCAGGCCGGCACACGAGCGGAGTGGGGTGGCCAGCCCCACTCCCGGAGTGGCGATGTTTACACACCGCAACCGGGTACACCCATTGGAGGCCGAGTCGATCTACGCGAGGCGCCCTGGACCAGTTCGGTTACTCGTCACCGGTGTTGGTGGCCGTGAGCGGGAATCGAACTCGGGTCGCGCCGGGTTCGCAGCGCAGCGCTAACCGCTGCGCCCGCCGCCCCCCCACTTGAGGGAAAGAGCGCCACTGCACACACTCGTCACAACACTTGACAACAACACGTCCATTATGGGGGAATGCATTTCGGCCATCTCCTTTGCCGCGGCATTACCACGATGACCCTCAGGTGTTGTTTCCGCTCTCTCCTCCTGTCGCAGCGGGCAAAGGGGGCCCCACGCACGTTGATCGCATAGGGAACGACGCTCACGACGCTGGCGTTGATCTCACAGGGAAGGACGCTCACGATGCATTGACGATTTTCACCACTGGCCTAAATACCTTCAATAAGAACCAGCGGGCTAGCTACCTACCCACCCCACAAGCTCGTGTCGGGGAGAGGCAGAGACGCATTTTTTATTTTACTTCAACCGGCGTCATTTTGGCGTGACAGCCAAAACCGATATGATGTCCCGCACCTCCCGATGCGCACGGTTGGCTGCGTACGGTGTGCGAAAGAAGTTCAACGTATGTACGTCTTAATTCTCAGAGCTTGAATTCCAGCAAAGCGAAGGGTGGCATTGAATGTGAGGGGTGTTTCCCTGCAGTCATTTGGTGACCGGGAGCCGAGACCCGACACATCTCACTGTGTTTGAGAAGCCGGTTTAATCACGTGCGGCCGGAACCCCGGATGTAAACCCAGGCTTTCACCAGTGCTGGCTCAGCGCTCTGAACTCTTAAAGCCACCACCCCTGGTCACCGCCTAAGTGTCGTCGTGGGCCCGGGGTGCTCATCTATTTACAGCCCTGAGCAAGCGATGAAAATTCCACGTTCCTGCGGTGAGGGGGGGGGAAGATTCCCTCCCAAACAACAACCACCGGTGGTGACGCGCCGCTAACCGGTACTCGTTTTCTTGACTCCCCCCCCCCACTTCACTTCTGGAATGATGAATGGAAAACCCAACGGCCGAGCGAGCGGCAACGCTGAACTTGCCACCTTCCGTTTCCGGCCGCGCTTTCACCTCTCCGTGTGCCACCGCAGCCATGTGACGACAAACGACGGGAGAGAGAGAGAGACTTTTTCCCGCCGTTTTTTGTTGTTGTTGCGAGTTGTTGCGGCTCGTGAACTTTTTGTAAAAACCCGTCCGCCGTCGTTGGCAATCGGGCGGATCGCGCACGGAGATCGCCGATGTTCCTTCGAGACTCTGAACCGGCCGGGTGGTGCGGTGGGGCAAGGGACGGCGGGACAGCGAGCGGGTCGCTCGTGGTCCGGCGGAGCAAGGTGTGCCGGGTGATAACCTCAGGTTGGAACTCCGGCTTCCTCCCACACGCAAATACAAATACTTGAAGGGGAATTGGTGGACTCATCGCCAGCAGTACCCTCCTGAAAATAAGTCTTGAGACTCAGGGAGTCTGGACACATAAGTAACTGTTAAGTGTGAATACTTAGTGATTAGGTTAGTGGACAGTTGGGTGGGTGAGCGGATCAATGAGTGAATGGGTAGGTGGGCGAGTGAGTTGGTGAGTGGGAGAGTGGGTGAGTGAGTTATTGAGTGGGTGAGTGGTTTGTTGAGTGGGTGGGTGAGTGGGTTGTTGAGTGGGTGGATGAGTGGGTTGTTCAGTGGGTGAGTGAGTTGTTGAGTGGGTGGGCGAGTGGATGGCTGGATGGGGGAGTGGGTGAGTGAGTTGTTGAGTGGGTGGGCGAGCGGTTGGCTGGATGGGGGAGTGGGTGAGTGAGTTGTAACATGAACAATATATATAAACATGTAACTCAAATGCAGCTATCGGTTTTGGCATTGGTATGGTCAGCGTGCAGCTGAGAACCCGGCTCTCAATCGCGGGAAGATACATCCCGGATCCGAAAACAGGATGTCAGCAGTGGGGAATAAAAGTCCGTCTCTCTCCGAAGTGGCCATCACGATGGCCCCTTGTCCACCCACCCACCCGCCTGGTCGCCGAGAGAGTAAACAACACAGCCCTGTTACTGTCTGCACGGGGCCCCACAGTGAATCACAAATGCTGTGCTTCTGGCTGTATAGTGGGGTGGGAGGGGGGACAGCGTCCACCCACCCACTCACATGGGTGAGCACCGCCGCTAATGTGGGATAATGGAGTCAATTACAGACACTGCTCTTAGGTGGGGGAGGGGAAATGTCACCAAACAATCACGGAGCAGCGCACGTGGCACGCATGCACGCATGCACGCATGCACACATGCACACGCATAGAAACACGTGTGTTTACACAAAGACAAATATACCCCATAGAGCCTTTAAGAGACTGTTGGGGTAAACGCTGTTAGCGAGCAGCGCCTATGAGGGCCGGCACAGGCACACGCGGGGGTGGGTGGCCAGCGCCACGCCCGGCCGCCTTTGTCTCCCGAGCGAGCATGTTTACATGCCGTAACCAGGTAATCGTTTGAGGCCGAGTCGACCTAGGGGAGGCCCGGAGACCGGTTCAGATAGTTCTTGTGAGCGGGGAATCGAACTCGGATCGCCGGGTTTGCGGCGCAAAGTGCCAAAAACTGCACCACGCATAAACACAGGGCACACGATACGGCCACGTCATAACCACACGCACGCACAAAGGTGCACGCTGTTTACGACACTAAGCCGAGATCAGGCGAGAGATTACGAGAATGCACCAAGTCGCGCTGGCGATTCGCATTTCATTTCGCTCGTATTTCGCGTTGTTCTTGGTCGCACGGAACGAACGTAACCTGCAGCTCGCCACTTGTTTTCCACGTGACGGCGTCCGAGCCGCGCTTTGTCATCCCACCGCCGGACGAGGCGGCCCTCGCCCACCGCCGTCGCAAGCAATGGGGGATGTTTGAGCGTAAACGTCACCACGCCGGGCGGTGAAGCCCTGACGAAGGAGGGTGGCGCAAGGCGCCGGTGACGCCCGTCTCGTGCCCACGGCGTGCCCGTGACACCTTCGCGCGGTGGTCGCCCCGTGCCGCCACCGTGCAAGGACTCAAACCTGCTGAGATTCCCAGAGCCTGGCGGGATAGGGCGTGTCACGGTTCACGTGCTCATGGGTGATACATCTTCACCTGCACACACACACACGTATATATATAGACGACAGGCATACCTCTCATAGCGCTGCCTCTTATAACGCCGTTTCGTTATATCGCTCTTTTGTCCTGGAGGAAAATTGCTGCCGTGGATCAGCCCCCATATGTGGAAGAGAGTGGACATGGCTTTGCCCGTAGGGTCGCGTCTTTGCCCATGCGTGCCCGTACAATCTTTGCCCACACGGTTCCCTGTAGGCTCATATTTGCCCATACGTGGTCTTGTGGGACCCGAATCGAGGCGTCTATTGCATCAATTCTTCTCGAGCAGCGAATCATTCAAGGGGCTAATAAGTCAGACTATGACAACTACAGAGGAATCTCTCTTCTTGCCACCGCTGGTAAAATACTGGCAAGAATCATACTAAACAGACTTCTACCACTTGCTGAAAAACTCCTTCCTGAATGGCAGAGTGGCTTTCACCTGGCAGGGGAACCTCAGACACGATCTTCTCAGCCCGTCAACTCCAAGAGAAGTGCCAGGAGCAGAGACTACCATTGTACATGACCTTCTTCGATCTGAACTAAAGCTTTCGATTATGTTAATCGTGAAGCACTATGTAGAATCCTCCTAAGATGTGGCTGCCCAACAAAATCTGTTAACATCCCTCCGTCTGTTGCACGACGGTATGAAGGCCGTCCTCCCCTCAGTTGGTGAAACCTCAGAGCCAATCGAAGTAAGGGCCGGTGTGAAGCAAGGCTGCGTTACTGCACCAACTCTTTTCTCCATCTTCCTGGTGGGAATGCTTCATCTGACATAGAAACAGACTTCCCAGAGGCATACCTATCACATATAGGACAGACGGGAACATAGTCAACATCAACCGTTTCAGAGCCAAGTCGAAAACATCAATCACATCCATCTTTGAATTCCAATATACCGATGATGCCCAAGTCGGTGCCTGCTCAGAAGCTGGCCTTAAGGTCATCAGTTAACATATTTACAGATGCTTACAGCAGGATGGGTCGAACACTCAATACCAGCAAAACAAAGTACCTTTTTGAACAAGCTCCGGGAGGACACCTACCACCCCTACAATCATTACCAACAATGCAATACTCGAAAGCGTTCCCAGTTTCTCATACTTAGGCAGCCATCTCTCTCGCAATGTCTTAATTGATTATGAAATCCAACATCGGATTGCCCGAACTCGTGCTGCCTTTGGCAAACTTAAGAACAGGGTCTTCAAAAGACCACGACATTACCCCCAAGACCAAAGTGGCTGTGGATAGTACTTTGATCATTCCAACCTTCGTATATGGTGCAGAAACCTGGACCACCTATCGCAAACACATAAAATCTCTCGAAATGTTTCATCGACGCTATCTCAGGAAAATACTAAACATCACCTGGAGCGATCCAACTCATCCAGCATAGAGGCCATCATCATGTAGTACCAACTCAGATGGGCAGGTCACCTTGTGAGGATAAACGACTCGAAACTTACTTAGAACATCTTCTATTCCGAGCTCAGGGATGGCTCACGTGCCCCTGGAGGTCAAACGAAGCGTTTCTGTGACAACCTTAAAACGTACCTCAAGCGAAGCCACATAGATCCAAACAACTGGGGAATCTATGCTCTTGATAGACCATCATGGAGGGCCAAAATCAACAATGGAACTCAGCACTTTGAGGCCGAACGAAGAGAGTTGATAGCCAGGAAAATAGCACGCCGCAAAGCAACATACATCACACCAGACACAGAGACAACAACGAGTGGGAGCTCCAGGGTGGACCATCACTGCCCCCGCTGTGTCAACATCTGCAGGTCACAGATTGGCCTACTCAGCCATCTCCGGACCCATGGCCAGCCAGGCCCACCTCACAATACGGACAAGTAACACCTGGAGGGAAATCATTACTCGCCTACAAGGGATCCCAGACCAAGTGCACTATGTATGCATCTAATACATGTAATGCACTGTGTGTAACGTAGTGTACAGAGTGAACGGTGTACACTATGTACCCACCCCAAGAACCCTCTCCCTGCACCACGTTCCGTGACCCTAGCAGGGGAGTTGCTAATCGCCGAGTTGCAAATTGCCGAGATGAACTCAAATGACCGGTGGGCGGCGGCGGCAGCGTGGAAGCAGAATATAAACTATCTGCAGGCCTCATCAGCCACTCTAAGATGTCACCACTGGTCTACGGGAAACGTGAAACCACACCGTTCTTCAGCGCCGCTTAGGACCGACTTGCCAAGAGCGAAGTGAGAGACGGAGACAAACGTCTCCACCGTGCAGCGAGGGCAGTGAAGCGACCTCGGCGAGCACAAAGCCTCGCTAAGCGCGCTGACGGCCAGAGCGATTTCCTTGCTCAAATCGAGCAGTCGAGGCATCCATGGAAATTGCACGTTCCTATGGCAGGAGCGAGACTATCCGCAGACAACCGTTGTTGACTTCCCACGTAAAGTGGTACTCGTTTTATTGACACCATAGAGATGATGGGAAGAGCCAACCCCCTAACCGTCCCTGACAGCTGCTGTATAGTTGGAGTCTGTGTGTCTCTCTGTCCCCGTAGTCACGTGGATTTTTATCCTGATCCTCCAGTTTTTCCCGCCACATTTAGAATTAACATCACGCATTTACAGCTATACATTTGCACGTGATGATAAGCCACTTCATTGATTGAGCTATCATTTGTGGCCATGTCGCTTTGAAAAAAGAGCCACATAGCTCAGTGGGGGTCTTCCTTAACTGGTAAAGCCCAAACCATCAAAGTGATGAGTGCACCATCCATGTGTAGTGGGTTACTTTAGAGACACAATAGTCGTAGGAGGCAACACACGTTAATCTAAACTTTAGATACTTGTTCACATACGGGATAACTACAGCCCGCACACTGCCTGACCCACGACGCCAAAGACGTAGCATTAAAGGTTTCCATTCCAACGACAGACAGCCCTGATTCAGCCTCGGGACTTCCCTTTTATGCCCCGACGTGGCCTGGTTCCGCCCTCGGCCACGCCCCCCTCTGGAGCCTACCAGAAGGTTCTGGGCTATACCCCACGTGTCCCCTCGGTCACCTTTGCCCCACATCCCTTACCCCGGCCTATCAGGTGCCCTGCTAGCTGGCCAAACTGCTACCCCATTGCGTGGTGGTGTCAGGATCTAGAAATCTGCCAAATTCGAAAGTCACACCGCAAATTACTCAATTGGGATCATACAGAGGAGCGAGCATCGCCACCCTACTGGCAGCAGACTCATGCCCCAAGTCACTCTCGCAACGTGACTCATCCTGGCCTCTTAAGGTCTTAATGAGCATGAACCATCACGCGAACTCCAGCTCATCCTCGCAGCAGCAGCGGTGAACTTGAACATTGAACAAAGATGGTAACCGCATCGCGCGCTTTCAGATGCGCTTCTGTGGCCATCTGAAATGCTCTTCCTTCCGATATTAGAAAGCCACTGGAGCTATACACTTTACATCTAGAATGAAAACTAATTTCTTTAGAACTTTAGTTTATTGGCTTTTCTCCGCACCTCCGATTAGCATGGTTGGCTACTTATGTTGAGAAGCTCAACATACATACACACCTGGTTACACGAAAAAAATGCGAAAGTTGAACCTAGATTTTGGACATATTTCGTCACCTGTATTTCATTAGTATCCAATGCATTAAGTAGAGGCAGGGTTATTTGTTTGTGTAATAACCCAGAAGGCTCCACTTTAATGCCCGGCAAGGTTTTACACTGCCTCGTCTTTGCGCCGACAGTCCAAGAGGTTAAAGGGAACGAACGCGAGCTCACCGGCGACCACGAACGTCTCCAGGAACCGACGGCGCTAACGAACCCACGAGGACCGGGTCGTTGTTTTTTCCCTTCCCTCTCCCTGCGCTTGTGAGATGAACTGTACCATCATCTTAAGTGGCCACGTACCGCCCGTTAGTTTTCCCATTGGATACGAATAAACGCCCCGTCAATTGGCTGAAAACATCGTAACATGGAGGATCGCAGAGCTTGGGCAATTGCTGGTAGCGCCGCTGGCTCGCAACCGCCTGGCTGCTGCTGCTGCGTCCTGGCTCGTGTCTGTGGTTTGCTCAGCGACTGTGAGAGACGTAATTTACATGAACGATATATAAATAACGAAAATTGATTATCTTCACCAGCTTATTCAACATAATCATCATCATCATCTCTGGGTCTGCCTGGGTTATGTTGTGGCCAGAACGTTCAACTCAAAGCGGTTATGCGCGAGTTCAATCTCGGTTTAAGGTATTGACTCCGCATCTCGGGAACATTTTTCACCTTCTCACCGAGGACCATTCTGTGGGACGTTGCCAGTGGCCATCTTATGGATACTGACCACCATAGGAATGTGGAATTTCCACTACTGGTACCACGGTGCCACCACCGAATGTCGATTGAAGCAAGGAGGAAGATATCTTTTTTACATGCGTAAAAGAAACGAATCGCAATGGATCAAATTAAATCATACGTACATCTGGTATTCGCACAATTCCAATACGGTGAGGCTATTGCAAAGGCGCTATGTTTCACAGGCAGGTATAGTCTGCAGTAGTCTCCCAAGAGGTGGAGATGTTGCTGTGTGGTTTTATCCAAAGTTGCGAGTTTCGGGTTTGCGCTGCAGTAACCGTCCTAGATTCTCACCCAGATCTGGAAGAACGCTGCTAGCGTCCAGAATGAACGCCTCACTCAAGATCCAAACATCCCCTCATCCTCGCCCTCCTCCCCCTCCTCCTCACCCTCCTCCACCTCGAAAACAGCGATGACCATCAACCACATCAGAGCATCATCAAGAGGCCGATGTGCACCACATTTCCTTCACGAATGGAACATTAACAACACGAGCCACAGAGTGTGCCCGTGGCC